GGGGTTGACCGGTGAACAGAATTCCATGACAACACCTTAACGCCATAGGAGGGGTTTACCCTACTAAGTCAAGGTGTAGTAAATAGGATATGCTGAGAAACTGGGAATGGGAAGCAGTCTAACCGTGGTCTTACAAAAGCATCTAGGCAAATGAGTTTCCAGCTCCAGATCACATCTGTCACGATGGCACATCAAAAATCACATTATGGAGGAAGAGAACGAAGAATTACAGAGTTTTGACTTGCGTCCATGCTGCGGCTACCAATGAGGAGAAGTCATACGAAAGAAAACACTACTGGTAAGGAACACTGCCCAAGACTATGGGCTGACATCGAAGCTGTAGTAGCACGGTATCAAGTAATAATTAGACGAAAAGCTATCGGTTAGGTGGTGATGAAGTCACAAAGTAATGACCTAGGAAGAACCAAACAGCGCGTTCAGTCATAGACTCACCTCTAAAGGAGGAACGAAACACACTGTTACATCCTTTCCAAACCAGAAATGAAATTACCGGTATTTTGCAAAGCCAAGTAGCCTAACTACGTCAACAAATGTAGCACAGTGACGATGAAATAATTCATCCTTCCGTACTCCAATGGTTCTAAATCCAAGGAAACAAACAGGAGGTAGCACTTATTACAACTGCCGCTTATGGAGCTAAACTACGTTGGTAATCCACAGGGCAAACAATGAGCTGGAGGCTGGTGATCAGCCGCACTCAAAACGACAGTTACAACAGGCGGGGAAAACAATAAAGATATCGACTCGTGTGGAAAAAAACCAATCAAACGTAAGAATGTATTAGATCCCATAACTTAAAGATTTCAAAGGAATTGACCCTGCTGAGGCATATACAGCTTGAGCTCGCAGAAAAGCACAATGAATGTTTTATCAGTAATTTCTCCGTCCCTCGGCTAATTGATATTAGCCTCCTGCAGTCGATGGCCATTTTGTACTGGTGGGTGGGCAGCAACAACAATCAGTTCATTTCACATCCTTACTGAATGGGATCTACTTCACTGCCTTGCTTGATTGAATTTTTGACGAGTCTGTCCTACGAAATTGCTTGTGACTGCTGCACCTGACACTTAGGGTTGGGCTACTCGGCTTTTTCTGAGGACGGCCAGTGATGTGTGACTGAAATATTGACAGT